GAGGTCTATTTCAGTAACACAAGTTGGGTTTAATTTTTTTTAAATATCTAATTTTAATTCTGATAAATATACCAGGATTTTTGTAAAATGTTAACATTACAGGAAGCTGGTGAAGGCATATGGGAACATTCTGAACCATCTTTTCAACTCTTCTGTAAATCTAAAATTATTCTAAAGTACAAAGCAAAAAATATATATAATTTATCAATTAACAGGATGGAGAAAATATGTAAATATTTTAATACTTGTGGAAAAGGGATTTAATAAAATTCTAAATTTATTCATTGTTTTTAAAAATTCTAGCAAACTAAGAAAAAATTGTAACTTCCTTTATCTAAGAAAGAATATCTTTATGAAGTCTTATATCAACTTAAAAGTAAAACATTAATGGCCGGGCGCGGTGGCTCAAGCCTGTAATCCCAGCACTTTGGGAGGCCGAGACGGGCGGATCACGAGGTCAGGAGATGGAGACCATCCTGGCTAACACGGTGAAACCCCGTCTCTATTAAAAAATACAAAAAACTAGCCGGGCGCAGTGGCGGGCGCCTGTAGTCCCAGCTACTCGGGAGGCTGAGGCAGGAGAATGGCATAAACCCAAGAGGCAGAGCTTGCACTGAGCTGAGATCCGGCCACTGCACTCCAGCCTGGGCGACAGAGCAAGACTCCGTTTCAAAAAAAAAAAGGTAAAACATTAAAACTCTTCCATTGAGACTGAGAGTACAGCAAGAATGCAAGCTGTCATCCTTCTATTCTAATTTGTGCAAGTGATCCTAGCCAGTATAACAAGGTAAGAAAGAGATATAAATCATGCAGAGATTAGAAAGGAGGAAACAAGACTGTCATTATTCTTGAATGCTATATTTATGTATGTAGGAAATTTAAAATTATCTATACATAAGTTATTACAAGAAACAGTGAGTTTTGCAATACTAATGGATATTAATATATCAATTTTTTCTATACACCAGGTAAAAGTTAGAAAATTTTTTAAAACAAAAATAAATATCTAAAAATATATCTAACAAAAATATGCAAGACTTCTCTGCAGAAAAGTTAGAGAACATTACTTAGAGCATTTAAAGAAGGATAAACTATGTTCATGAAAATCTCAAGGTTGTAAAGATAGCACTTTTCACTAAATTTATTTATAGATTCAAAGTAATTTTAATCAAAATCTGAAAAGTTTTGTTTGTGAGATTTGATAAACTGACTCTAGAATGTACATAGAAATGCAAAGGACCAACATTAGCCTTGAAAAAGGGCAAAGTCAAAAAACTTGCACCACTGGGTATAAAAACTTAGTACGGAGCTACAATTTTCAATAAAGTATGGTATTGGCTCAAACACAGATAATTAGAGTAATGAACTAAAATGATGTCTTATAAACCACATCAAAATCCTCTCAGAGCCATCTTTTACTTCAGCCTGCTACAGCAACAGCCATGTTGGCCTTGACCAGCATCACACATGTGCAACCACAGTACATCTAGCTGTAGATCCAAACTGCATACCTCTTTCTTCCTGCCCAGGGGCTTCTCTAATGCCAAGACATAGATTGTCCATGCTTAGCACTCAAACATGTATAACCTGGATGTATAAAGGAATTAACACTCCTAGAGCCAGACTTGGCTAGTGGGAGATTAAATGGAAAAATGTTTTTTCCTTTCATCCCCAGGTGGAGAGTTCTGATTTGAATTTTGTGCAGTTCCTTAAAAAATTGGAACACAAGTGACCTATAGCAGTAGCCAGTTTGATTACATATCTTTGTATTGGCTTTTTCTCTGTTTCCTTATTTCATTACTGGTCTTATACTTCTGCTACTTGGAAACATGTTGCCAAATAACCTGTGGGCAAGCCTTTGCCTCAGGGCTCTGCTTTCAGGAAAACTAAGGTTAAGACAGTGGCATTGTTGAGCAAGAGGGTAATGAAGGCTTCTGCAATATATGGTTCTGAAACAATTGGATATCCATATAGAAATAATGAAATTTGACCTCAACTTATACCTCATCTAAAAAAATCAATTTTAGATGAATTGTAGATCTAAATGTGAGAGGCAACATAATAAAACCTTGAGAAGACAATGTAGACATGACCTCAGGGTAGAGAAGACTTTTTAAAGAGAGCAGCACATCACTGCCATAAAACAAAAGTTTGATAAATTTGACTAAATCAAAATTAAAAGCATTCATTTATCAAAAGACATCATTAAGAGAATGAAAATGCAAGTCACAGGGTATGACAAGTTATTTGCAACACCTATAACCAATAAAGAGCTTGTGTCTAGAATATAAAAATAAGTCCTATAAATCAATAAGAATACAAAAACACAGAAAACCTACTAGTAAAATCAGGAAGAGAGTTGAGCAGTCACTTTACCAAAATAGATATCCAAATGCTACCAGACATATGAAAACGAGTTCATTAGCCACCAGGTTCGGAATGACAATTAAAACCACAAAAAGATATCACTATACATACCACCAAACTGGCTAGATTTCTTAAACTGAGAATTCCAACTGCTGGCAAGGATGTAGAACAAGGGAACTCTCAAAATTCTGCTGATGGGGATATAAATTGACACAAACCCTTTGGAAAATTGGGCAGTATCTACTTAAATTGAATAATATGCATAACCTGTGACCTAGCAATTCCACTCCTAGAAGTATACCCATCAGAAATGCATATTCATATGCCTCAAAGGAAATGAACAGGAATGTTCACGCATTAGTTTAACAAGCCAAAATCAGAAACAGCCCAAAAGTTTATTAACAATAGGTTAGACAAATCAATCACTGTGTATTCACACAATGGAAAATAGCAATAAAAATGAAAGCACTACAGCTATATACAATAGCATGAGTGATTGTCACAAACATGATGCTATACAAGAAGTAAGACACAAGGGTCAGGATATGTCCAGTCATTTAAAATTTCCAAACACCCAAAACCAAATCATACTGTTTACAGTTATATACCCTGGTGTTAAAAAAAAAATGCAAAGAAAAGCAAGAAAGTGATTGTCGTCAAGTGAGAATAATGGTTACCTTTAAGGGGACAAAAGGAGCCATCTCTGAATCAGATCATTTTGAGGGTTCATGGGTGCTGGCAATGCTGTTTCTTGATCTGGATTATGGTTACACAGATACTCACTTTATAGTACAACAGTCCCTTTCTATCCCTGGGGGATATATTCCAAGGACTCCAGTGGCTGCCTAAAACCTCAGACAGTACTGAATCATATATATATATATATGTGTATATATATATATGTATGTATGCACACATACACTATCTTTTTTCCTATGCATGCATAATTATGATAAAGTTTAATTTGTAAATCAGGCACAGTAAGAGATCAACAATAACTACTAATAAAGTAATTCTAACAACATACTGTCATCAAGGTTATGTGAATGTGGTCTCTCTTTCTCTTTATGAAAATAACTTCTTATACTATACTCACCCTTCTTGTGATCTGTCAACCTGATAACTGAGATGGCTACTCAGTAGGTAATGGGTTGGTAGAGCGTAAAACACATGGAGATGCTGAACAAAGGGATGATTTGAAGCCAGATATTTTCCTGACCCCTTCACTGGCAGGAACTGGAGTACATGGGAGCTGAAACTAGCTGGCTGATTCGGTGCAGGCCAGAGGGGAACTCCACTCACTCGCTCCTCCACCCGTCATGGGACATGGAGGGCAGGTGAGCAAGTGCAGGAGCCAGGGTGAGCACTTTTGGGCACTGGCAGGAGTGAAGTTCAGTGGAGGGTCAGTGTGACAGTCTTTTGCGCTCACACTTGTGGCACCTGAGTTCTTGTCCAGCGTCCAGGAGGAATGAGGTCACATGAATGAATTGAAGACGGTAAATGTGGGTGATTTTATTGCCAATGAAAGTGGTTCTCAGCAGGAAGGGGAGCTGAAAAGGGGATGGAGCTGGAAGGTAATCTTTCCCTGAAATCCAGCCATCCCCAGCCGGACTCCTCTCCAAAGCTACGCCATGAAGCTGTCCCTCTGAAGTCAAGCCATTTCTCTCTGATGTCCAACCATAGTCTTGTAGTCTCTGACATCCAGCAGCTCCTCCTCTCTGCCAGTTGAATTCTGGGGTTTTCATGGACACAGGATGAGGGGGTGAGGTGGGCTATGGGTGGTTTTGGAAAAACAATATTCAAGCAAGAAAACAGGGATGTAAGTTCTCAATTTGGGCCATGATTCCAGGCATTTCAGCTTGAGGGTGGGTCCCTCGCCAGGCACCCGCCCTCTTTGGCCCAGAATTTATCTGCCTCCTGTCCCTATCGATTTTGTCATGTGAGATTTCATCACATTACCGAGAATGGTGTGCAATTTAAGACTTCTGAATTGATTATTTTTGTAATTTCCCATTTAATATTTCAGACCACAGTGGATCACCAGTAACTGTGGGAAAGCATGGATAATGAAACCAATAAGGGAAGACTACTGTAATCCATTAAGCTGTGTGTGTGTGTGTGTGTGTGTTTTCTTCTAAGTGTGCAGTATTTCATAGTAGAAAAACTTTAAAAGAACAAGAGGGAGGCAGCACAGTCATGACCCACAGAGGCTTTCATTAAATTTTAACTCATTATCATTACAAAGATAAAGTATAATAAGAAGCCAAAAGCTAACACACGAGACCTGGAAAGGTTTTAGTCATAAAATTGCCTCACCATTGCCCACAGCACAGAGTTTTTCAAATTCCTTAGTATACTTGGAATTTGGTGATTAGGAATCTGCAGTTTGAAATAGTCAAGTGAGTTTTCTAAGGCAGAAAGCTATGAAATTTATTTAATAGCACTTGAACTTGAATGTCTTCTTTTGAGTCCAGTACTCTTTCTCCCATCTCCAGAAAGCTGACCATAAGGAGGAATAAGAAACTGTGGAAAGTGACTGAGTGTGTGGGAAACACCGGCATTGATTTTGCCTGTTCAATCTTAAGTGTTTAGATTTTGAATCTGTCTTTCAAAACTTGTGTGTGGTTTTCTTTTGCTTGTTCATTTTCATACAGACACTTTTGCTGAGGCCATTTGACTAAGTAGAAAGCAAAAATGGGAAAAGACTATAGTCATTTGCCACAAGAGAAGTTTTTTTTTTTTTTTTCCCTTGGGTTCAAGGCTGCTTAAACTTGTGTTTGTACTAGAGTAAGGTCAAGTTGCATTCTCCATCTCTGTGTTTACCTCTTCTCACAACATCTATTGCTGCAATAATAGTTACCCTCCACAGCTCACTCTGAGAACTCACTCTGAGAGACTTCTTAGGAAACTGCTATACCTCACCTATGAATAAATTACCCATCATGAATGCACTTGAGCCCCAGAATACAATAATTTGCCCTGACCCCATGAGATTACATCAGTGTAACTACACGAATGCTAATTATACTACTCCATTATTTGCACACTGAATCAAGGGGCAATGTCCTGCCTTAAAGAGTTTAATGGCTCTAAAGCAGCAAGAAGCAGACTTCTTTATCCCTCTCTGGCTTTACAGCAGCTGGTAGCCTCTGTAGGAAAATGCAAATGCAAAATCACAGTAGTTGAACCTTGGCTACGTTTGCATTTGCACCTGCTAATTAAACCAAACAAAAAATCTCAGCTTCCCTGCTGAAAACCTTCTAACCTGGGGGCTCACTCAGCTCAGACACAAGTCAATAGTACATTGTGTATCTTATTGAGAACAGCACTGTCCAAGAGAAATATAATGTGAGCCAACGTTAAGAGCCACATATGTGATTTTAAAAGTTCTAGTACCTTACAAAAATAAACAGGCAAAATTATTGTTGTTATATTTAGCCTAATACATGTAAAATATTATCATCTCAACATGTAATCAACATAAAAATTACTGAGATATTTATATTCCCTTTTCATATGAAATCTTCAAAATCCAGTGTATATTTTACACTTACAGCACACCTCAATTTGGACACATCACGTTTCATCTACTCAAGAGCCGCACATAACCAGAGGATACTGTACTGGACATTGCAGATCTAGAACTTCTTGGCATTTCTCACAGAGAAGCTTCTTCGAGTGCAAATAAAACCTGAGATTTAAATTGGGCTATAAGTGTAAAGTGCTTAGCATAATGCCTAAAACATGGGAAGCTCCAGTAAATGATAGCTATTATTATTAATATTATTGTCATTGATTTGGGGTTAAATACTTCAGGCTTGTTATAAATAAGTCCTCGTTTGAATTTTTACACCCTTCTGTGGCCCATGTGTACAAAACACCAAAATATTTTTACGTATAGCATTTGTAAATGCTATGTATAATACTATATTTAACTACATCTTAATGACATAGGCCAATGTATCACAGACTTTAGTCATTTCTACTACACTTCTGAGTTTCTGATATGTGCATATCATCTGTTCTATTATTTCACACTCATCTTCACATTATCTTATTTCTTTAAATTGAACATTTAGAACTTTACACTCATCGTAAGAAGTCACAGCCCTAAAATCAGGAGTTTGATGTGCTACATATGTTTTTCCTAATGTTGAAATAAATAAATTTCCTATTTTTTAAAAAAGGTCCTTGTGCTCCTAAGGTATCATATATGCAACAATAGTGTAGCTAACATAGAAAAAAATGTATAATCAATATTATACAATGTTCCATTCTGCTCTTCTAACTTCAAGCTTTGTGGCCTTGGCAAATTACTTAACACCTCTCAGCATTAGTTGTCTTATCTGTAAAATGAGAATAGCAATGGTGTCTACTGCCTAGGGAGTTTGAGTATTAGAAACAATGCATACAAAGTGTTCAGCACAGTGTCTGGTTTTTCTGAGTATCTTTATCAAGAAACATCAGTGCTCTCTTTATTATGAGTGATTTATAGTGTGCAAAGCATTTCCTATGCATTATTTTCACAGGAATCCACTGAGGAAACCAAGGATCATTATTTTTACTTTATAGATGAAGAAACGAAGGCCTAATAACTTGCCCAGGGTTAATGGGTCAGTGTGCAGCAAAGTTGGGCTCACATTCAAGTCTTTCAAGTCATGTTCATTGCTACTTCCACTACACTACATTTGCTGCAGCAGGACATGCATCTACCTATTTTTACCATTGCCACCTACTGCAAAATGAATCTTCCCACCAGCAAAAAATTGGGTGGAGGAAGCTGAAAAGTCTTGTCATTTCACATAACCAGCAATATGTATTTATGGACCACCTAGTTAGCGAAAAGTTCTTATCACCAAGCAGGTATGATTTCCTCTGCTCCCCTAACTGACCTCAACAAGACAGATCTCTGTGGAATTTATCCCCAGAGCAAACACTGATATGTACATTACAGTAAAGCCATCATTTTAACTTGGACTACCCGTCACTAGGAGAATTACAGCATCTGGACATTTTTCCAGCAATATGGTTCTGGTGTCTAGGAAAAAAACAAAAATTATGTTGGGCTGGTAGGTGGGTGTGACATGTTCTTCTGGAATTTAATTTTTGAGGTCTAAATTATTTGTTTCATTCTGTGAAACTGTCAAGACATATAGCTTTGGTGTCTTTCATGGCATAAGGGCTGATTCTGTCTAAACCTTTCAAGGCAAGTTTAAGCCAGAAAATCATACCAAAAACTAGTCATCCAGAGATAGGCAGTTAGAAAATGCTGTGGATCCTCTTCATAAGGACTAAAGAACTGCCATTATCAATGCCACTTTTTCTTCTGTTTTGTTTCTTTAGGAAGATTTATGTAGTTAAATAAAAATGGAGTATGATTTACTATCAATCATAACTAGTATTTCCAGAAAAGACTATGCTAGTCTATAATATAATATAGTAGACTATAATAGTCTAAAAATATAAAATCTGTACCACATAATTTGTTTTAATATAATCCTCTTAAAATTATCATATACATATTGACCATCTCCCCCCAAAAATGTAAGCTCTTTTTGGGGTATATATTTTAGGAAGGCCTATTGTTGAGTGAAAAAAAGATACAGTTGATTCCAAAATAGTTTTTGTTCCATGTAACTCTGTTCCTGTAAAACAACAGCTACATCTTACATTTATATTTTACCGACATGTTTCTATCTATCTATAAGACATTACATCAGAAGGTTAACAATGTCTTACTAGGAGGAGGTAGATCATGCTTTGTGTGGTTTTTTAATGTAGCTTTGTATTCTAACTTAAACAATGAAATGTTACTATAGACTGAATGTGTCTCTCCTAATTCATATGCTGAAGTTCCAACTCCCAATGTGATGGTATTAAAAGGCAGGCCTTTGGGTGGTAATTAGATCATGAGGGTGTAGCCCTCATAAGTGAGATTAGTGCCTTTACAAGGGGATGAAGAGAGCAGAGGGCATGTATGCTCTCTCTCTTCTTCTGTATCTCTCTCTTCCTCCCTCTCTCTCTCTCTCTCACTCTCTGCAATGTTAACATACAATGAGAAAATAGCTATCTGCAAACCAAGAAGAGAACTCTGACCAGACACCAAATCTGCCAGTGCCTTGATCTTGGGCTTCCCAGTCCCAGAACTGTGAGAAATACATTTCTGTTGTTTAAGCCACCTAGTCTGTGCTATTCCCTCATAGTGGCCCAAACCTAATTTTCTATTAGTATGTTTTCCAAATTATTTTAAAATAACAACTCAGTCCATCTTGGTGACCTGGTGACTTGTAGAAAGCCACCTCCTACTGGAAAAGAAAAGAATGTGCTAAACATGCCATCAAACCCTGATGGATCATGTCTCTGGGATAAAAACATCTATGCCTCAGGAGAAACAAATAGGCTAGCTGGGGACTACTAACAAGCTATGCATTAACCAGCAATTCCAGTGGCCAGACAGACGTTCCTCTAATGACCTAGGAATCAGGCAGATATGGATTTTTAGGCTACTCTAGTCATATGGGAAGGTTTCCTTAGCTATTATAACAAAGAAAACGTGTATCCATTTCCCATGGCTATGTGAGGATGAGATGCCTAGCATGCTATCTGGAACAGAGCAGAGGTGCTCAATGAATAAAAACTGTTTGCACCGAGGCTCAGACCAAGTCCCTCTCCCACTCCCAGAGAGGAGGGAAGAAAAAGATATTAATTTCGAATTCCCAAATTCTTTCTTTCTTTTTATTATTATTATTACTTTTTTATGCAGTCTCACTCTCTCGCCCAGGCTGTAGTACAGTGGCATGATCTCAGCTCACTGCAACCTCCACCTCCTGGGCTCAAGCGATTCTTCTGCCTCAGCCTCCCGAGTAGCTGGGACTACAGGCATGTGCCACCACACCCGGCTGATTTTTGTATTTTTAGTAGAGACAGGGTTTCACCATATTGGCCAGGCTGGTCTCGAAATCCTGACCTCATGATCTGCCTACCTCGGCCTCCAAAAGTGCTGAGATTACAGATATGCATCACCACGCCCGGCCCCTTCTTTCTTTTAAATCAGATCCTTCAATGACTTAGAGAACACCTAGCTTTCACTCTTCCTCAGACAGCAACAAGTGTACGGTCAGAAACCAGAGCCTTCCACAGCCTCCAGGTTGACAATGAAATACACTAAGACTTTGAGACCTCTCCTTCTACCAGCATGAAATTCTCTAGTGTGACTGGGCAGCCTGGAGTTCCTGTTGGTATCTCATAGAGTGTAAATAAGAAAAGGAGGAATCTTTCAAGAAAAATAACTTAGTCTAAGCCATAAAGGTCAAGAACTAGAATGCTGCATTTGTTCTGTTTGCAGAAAGAATATTAAAATTTGATAATATGGTTCAGAAACAAGCACTAAAAGTATCCATGGGGGAGTGGTTCTAGGACTTCCTTCGGATCCCAAAATCTAAAGATGCACAAGTCCCTAATATAAAATGGCACATGGAGCCTACTGTGTATATCCTTTGATGTCCTTTAAATCATTTCTAGATTTCTTATAATACCTAATACAATGTAAATGCTATGTAAATAGCTTTTATTACCATATTGTATAGGAAATAACAACAAGAAAAAAGTCTGTATAAATTCAGTACAGATGCAATTTTTTACAAGTATTTTCCATCCACTGTTGGTTGAATCCATGGA